GCGTTTGTACTGCATCTTTGTGATATGGTCACGTTATTTGCTTCTTGTTTTCCAGAGTGAATATTATAAAATTACAAAGTTGCCCCTCCTGCCTAATTTAATGTCTTCCGCTCTTGTTTAATGGAGGAAGAGACATTCTGTTTTATGCTCTGCATGATTGACGGATGTTATCTCTCCGTTGAGCTTGTTTAATTGTGCATATGATTGATGTTATGACTTTCATGCATTAAGGCTTGACTATCTCATTTTTGTTATGTGTTTGAAATGGAACTGTAACCGCTCAAGCCCACAGCTAGCTGATATTATTTTCTTTGGACTTTTTCTTTCGGGTTTTACTGAAGGTTCTAGAGGGATAGGTTTCCACGTCCTTATAAAAAATGTTTTTCTTTTTTACTTTTCAATAATGTGTGAACTCACAATCTACCCTTTCGGGGGCAGCGTCCTCACTTACATTGGTTAAACTCATTTATAGGGAAAAAAGTACAAGAAATTATTCGGGTTAGCAGTCATAGCCCCACTGTTGTCTGTAATCCTCTCAACCCTTTTGGTGTTCCTCACAAGAGCCGACCAGCACGGCGTCAAGATCGTAAAACGAGTCCCCGCTGGGCTCAACCCCATCTCCGCTCGCCACCTCCAATTCCACAGCCCTCAAATCTCCCAAATCACCACCGCCTCCCTCATCGTCGCCGCTATAGCTCTCACAGTTAGTTCATTTCAAACCCTAAACCCTAAACCCTAATTCATTTCAACGCCATTAATATTCTTCCACGATTTCAGGAAGCTATTGCTGTCGGGAGATCCTTCGCCTCCATGAAAGGATACACCATTGATGGCAACAGAGAGATGGTTGCCTTAGGCTGCATGAACCTCGCCGGCTCTCTCACTTCTTGCTACACAGCCACCGGCTCCTTCTCCCGGACGGCCGTGAATTTCACTGCCGGTTGCCAGACGGCGGTTTCCAACATAGTAATGGCTGTGACGGTGATGATATCATTGGAGGTGTTAACTAAGCTGCTCTACTTCACTCCCAACGCCATTCTAGCCTCCATAATTCTGTCGGCACTTCCAGGCCTCATTGATTTTCATCAAGCTTACAATATCTGGAAAATCGACAAGCTCGACTTCTTCGCCTGCCTCGGAGCCTTCCTCGGAGTCCTCTTTCTATCCGTCGAGTTCGGCCTCCTCCTCTCGGTATCTACCTTCTTCCTCTTACTCACTCTCGTATCTAATAGATTTTTAATTTTTACGTGCTCAGAATCGCTAATAACGTCTCATGCATGATTTTTTAATGTGAAAATATAATTCGTAAATGAACATTATCGTTATTATCAATGTTGGAAAACATTTAAAACATTTTCTAACTATCGAAAACACTGTCAGTCTTACGTGTTTCAAACAAAAACACTGGAATTCAAAAATTAAAAACAATTACAAAATAAAATAATTTAAATGATGAAACGCAAACATCCTATTCTATTATATTTGCAATGCCGCCGTCATCCGTACATGAGCGTTTTGCCTTTACCTAGAGAATAGAGATAAGTCCTAAGAGCATGATTGCATATATTTGCATTACTGTGACCCCTATAGTGGGGTCACTTACATGCACGACTATTCTATGCATGTGTCATCATCTCTATTTGCAATGCCGCCATCATCCATACATGTGCGTCTTGCCTTTACCTAGAGAATAGAGATAGGTCCTAAGAGCATGATTGCATATATTTGCATTACTGTGACCCCTGTAGTGGGGTCACTTACATGCGCGACTATTCTATGCATGTGTCATCATCTCTATTTGCAATGCCGCCGTCATCCATACATGTGCGTCTTGCCTTTATCTAGAGAATAGAGATAGGTCCTAAGAGCATGATTGCATATATTTGCATTACTGTGACCCCTGTAGTGGGGTCACTTACATGCGCGACTATTCTATGCATGTGTCATCATCTCTATTTGCAATGCCGCCGTCATCCATACATGTGCGTCTTGCCTTTACCTAGAGAATAGAGATAGGTCCTAAGAGCATGATTGCATATATTTGCATTACCATGACCCCTATAGTGGAGTCACTTAGGGAGTATTGTTCGAAATACGGCTATTTTCCAACATGATGTTCATTTAAGAGTTCTATTTTCCAACATGATGTTCATTTAAGAGTTATATTTTCGTATTAGGGGATAAGCAGGAGACGTTAGTAGCGACCCGGAATAACATTTAGATTTTATTTCAAAAACTAAATCCTAAACTAAAAATTGTATGCAGATTGTGATATCATTTGCAAAGATAATTCTAATCTCAATCAAACCTGGGACTGAGATTTTGGGTAAACTCCCTGGAACTGATACCTTTGGTGATATCCATCAATACCCAATGGCCCTCAACACTCCTGGAGTCCTCATCCTCCGTGTTAAATCTTCCTTGCTTTGCTTCGCAAATGCCAACTTCATCAAAGACAGGTAACCCGACTGCCACAATGTAACTGACAGACAGTACATTTCAATTTGAGATTGTTTTACGAGACGTTCGTAAGCTGTGTTTTATCCGTGATTTAGGATTCTGAGGATGATCAGCAATGAAGAAGATGCATCAGGGAAGAGAGGCATTCAATTCCTAGTGATTGATTTCTCAAGTTGGTTCATTTCTTGTTCTTTTTTTAATTTTTTGTTTCATGGGTTATTTTACTTATATAAAGCTATGTTGTTTCTATGTAGATTTAATGAACATTGATACTTCTGGAATTGGTTCTCTTGAAGAACTACAAAGTGGTTTGGGAGGCAGTGGAGTAGAGTTGGCCATTGCAAACCCAAAATGGGAAGTGATTCATAAGCTGAGGGTAGCAAATTTTGTTGGGAAGCTGAAAGGGAAGGTGTTCTTGAGTGTTGGGGAAGCTGTGGATGCATGTGTTGCAGCTAAATTGGGAGCCATGATCTAAATAACTATCACTTTCAATGGAATAAATTATGGAACATTGTTACCAAATACTCCTACTTATGGTTTGTTTCTTGTAATGTGGGGATTTTAATTGGTCTATGGTACCAAACCAACAAATTATGGGTTTGTAAAATATGTGTGATTATAATAATTGTTGGGGAAATCCCATGTCTCATCATATTTGCTTCCTACCAATATAAATATGTTCATATATGTTTGGGATTTCATAATCCGAGTGCACATCACCCGATGCCTGTCTTTGATATCGTTAGTAACCATTTAAGCATATCACTAGAAAATATTGTATCGGCTTTCCTTCTAAACTTCCTCTCTAGGTAGGTTTTCAGTGGGTAGAGTCTTTACACTCTTGTAAGAAATGTTTAGAAATGTTTCGTTCCCTTCTCCAACCGATGTGGGATCTCACATGACATCTATACAAGAAAGCTCACGAGAAGAAGCTGTTAGACAAACATGACTCTTCATAATGGTATGATATTGTCCACTTTGAGCATAAGTTCTCAGGGCTTTGCTTTGGGGTTCCCAAAAGACTTCATACCAATGGAGATAGTATTATTTGATTATATACCCATAATCATTTCCTAAATTAGTGTGGGACTTTCATCTAATAGCTCCCCTTGAACAAAGTATGTCTCCCCTTAATCGAGGCTCTGACTCTTTTTTCTTTTTGAAGTCTTGTCATTTTTTACTATGCCTTCAAGGAGCCTTGACTCTTTTCTTTTGGAGTCCTTTTTTCAACATTTGAGGATTCTATTGACATGGCTAAGTTGTTAGGGCATGACTCTAATACCATGTTAGACGAACACGACTCTCCACAATGATAAGATATTGTCCACTTTGAGCATAAGCTCTTATGGCTTTGCTTTGGACTTACCCAAAAGGCCTCATACAACAATGTACGCTTCCGAGGCTCGACACATTTTTCTTTTTAAAGTCATTTTTTTACTACGCTTGAGGAACCTTGTCTCCTTTCTTTTGGAGTCATTGTTCAACATTTGAGAATTCTATTGACATGGCTCTAATACCATGTTCGACGAACACGATTCTCCAGAATTGTATGATATTGTCCACTTTAAGCATAAATCTCTCATGGCTTTGCTTTGGGCTTTCCCAAAAGATCTCATACCAATGGAAATAGTATTCTTTGATTATATACCCATGATCATTCCCTAAATTAGCCAATGTGGGACTTTCATCCAACACCTCCCCTCGAACAAATACACCTCCTCTTAGTCAAGGCTCGACTCATTTTTCTTTTTGGAGTCTTAGTCATACTATGACTTCTTTTGGAGTCATTTGTTCAACATTTAAGGATTCTATTGACATGCCTAAGTTTTTAGGGCATGACTCTAATTCCATGTTAGACAACACGACTTTCCATAATGAGATGATATTGTCCACTTTGAGCATAAGCTCTCATGACTTTGCTTTGGGCTGAACAATATCATTTCATTGTGGAGAGTCATGTTCGTCTATAACATAGTATCAAAGTCATGCCCTCATGCCCTAAAAACTACCAAACTTATAATCAAAACGTTTCAATAAGAAAACCATCCAAATTTGACCTAAAGAAAGAAGAACAATGACAAGACCTTTAAATAACTTAAAAGCATGAATAATCAAACAATCTCGACCATTTAAAAAAAAAAAAAACAAATGTATACATATGTAAACATCATATATTTACATAGAAACGTAAAAAAAAAAAAATAATAATAATAATAATAATAAATCAATCCCCATTGAGTTGAGGCAACTTGCCATTATCATAATTAGCACTTTCATCACTTGGAGGCATTTGATTCCCATTAGAAATGCTATCAACTTGTTGCTGCGACATCATCGTGTTCATGCAAGGCCCTCCAATCTCATGCTATTAATCAAAATTCATCCTAATTAACACAACATCTTAAACACAAAGTTGGTAAATTTAAGAGGTAAAAGGGAACCACAACCTTGAGAGTTTCAAATGAAGCTTGTGGTATGAATGAGGAGAGGAGCTGCGACGTCGTGTAGTTGTGATGCCATGGTGAGTACCCATCGTCGTTCGGGTTGCCCATGTCGCACCCACCAATGTTGCATGACCCGACATTCATGTTGCCCGCTTGTGTTACTTGATCATAAACCGTACCAGGATATTGACCACTACAAACCATATTCAAATCGATAAATAAACCCTAATCTAATCCGTCGAAGAAAACAACAAACAAAATTACCTTTGAGGAATCGAAGACGACTCAGCCGCCACACAAATTTGATTCTGATTCTGCCCGTTTTCTGGTAGCCAATTCGCTACATCGTTTTCAAACGAAGACGCTATTCCATCTTGTGAATCCAAATATAACTATTTCCCAAATAAAATAATTATTTTACCTAATAATTCATCCATAAATTAATATATACACTTTAATTAATTACCTGAATACCATTCGGTGGATCATACGGAGATAAATGACTATTCAATACATCTTTCTGTAAACAAAAACACGATAGAAATTTGATTAAAACAATATTTTATTTTAGTCTCAATACTTTCATGAATTTATACCTTCCTCTGAGCGATCCGTGCCAACGTGTCGAGCAAATTCTTCTCACATGACTCTATTTCACCATTCGATGTAAACGAAAAAGGATCCGGTTCGAATAACCTTTAATATAAAATATGGAATTTAATTATTTTAATTTTAATTACAAAATTCAATTTAAAAAAAAAAAAAAAAAAAAAAAAACCTAAGCTGCTGTTCAGCAAGTTGAAGCTCATGTCTCAACGTAGCAACCTCTTGTTGAAGCTCCTAAGAAATTAAAGTAATTTTATTCAATAATTATTGTATTTTAAATTCTACATTATAATTTTTTAAATAAAAATAAAAAATGGGATATTACTTTAATTATATAATTACCTCGACATTGGAATTGCTTGATGTAGGACTGTTTGAGGACAAATAAATAAATAATAAATAAATTTAAATAATTTAATATTTTTAGAAAATGAAAAAATAAATTTAAATAATTTAATATTTTTAGAAAATAAATAAATAAATATAAATAATTTAATATTTTTAGAAAATAAATAAATAGAGATGGGTTGATTTATACTTGGCAAGTTGAAGTGCAATATCGTTCTCTGTCTTCAGATTATTCAGTGTTCCAAGTAAAAACTGCATGAGAATTTAAATAATCATTAAATAAAAGAGTTTTTATTTTATTTTATTTTTTATTTTAATTTTAAAAAATAAATGTAAATATATTGATTTTTCATACCTCTTTATTCTGAACAACACTGCAACAAAAAATTGGGGAAAAGGAAAATCAAATTGAATTCGTTAATTTCGGGAGAGAAATCTGGAGAGAATAAACAGTAAAATTGAATTAAAAAAAAAAAATAAGGAAAAAAAACCTTCCTCTGTCATGATCAGGCAAATTTATGTAACGAGCAAGAACATCTTCGATTCTGCAGCGGCGGAGAGAGATTAAGAAAGGGAGAGAGAATGCGAGGAATTAGAAGGGAGCAGGGCGGAGAGAGGAACCTGCGGCGGCCGGAGAAATGGCTGAGGCGGCTGGAAGGAGAGAACATGATGAGTGCGATATCGATATCGCAAAGAACAGAGAGTTCGTATGCCTTTTTGATGAGGCCATTGCGGCGTTTGGAATAGGTGACCTGGCGATTGGTGTTGTTTTCGATTCTTTTGATCTGTAGCTTCACTCGCCCCATCGGCTAACCATTGGAATGGAATCGGTGCGGTTAGGGTTAGGGTTAAATGGAGAATGAAGAACAAGAACAAGAAGGACGAAGAAGACGACGATGGAGGATTTCCCAACCTTGAATAGTGGAATGGGTCGTTTCTTTTTTGGGGAAAAAGTCTTTGCCTTCGTTTTTAACCTCACAATAATTAACTCCTAATTTATTGTTTTTTTTTTTAATTTTAATTATTGAATGATTATTAGCTTTTAAATCTTTACCTATAATCAAATTAATATCTGAGATTTTATTAGCCATAAAATTTAAATTTGTAAATAATGAATGTGACGAAATAAAAAAAAAATGTATAGAATCTGTGAGGGTCTCAATCAACTCACTCGACACACGCGCCATCCTCACCGTGCAATTACTGCCCCTTCCATTTGATTTTCTATAACCCATGCGTATTGAGAGGGAGGACACTGCAGACCTGCATAGGTTGAATTGGATGTTGAGAAGCAGATTTAGGTTAGCTCTAGGAATACTTAGTGACTTCGACTGCTTAGGCCAATCAAGGAAGTGGTTCTATTGTTGGCTTGGTTGGATAAATTGTATGGTGTATGATGTATGATGATGTGTGTCTCATGACATCTACACGTGTCATAATTATGATTGTTATGTTATGTTATGCTATGTTGTGTTGCGTGATGTTTATAATCTATGTTATAATGTATCTATGCCATGTGGTAGAATTATGTTTACGATAGTGATTGCCTATGATGCATAAACATCCATAGGCCATATCATGTAAGTTATTTAAGTACCAAAGTTTTGATAGGAGTTATGAATGCATGATTTATAGGCTTATTAGGTTGTTAATGAATGGAAGTTTGACTTGCATCATAAACTTATGTCATGATTTTTAGCTATGGAACCTTTGCGTGCCATAGACATTGAGATATTCCCTACGATTAGTATGGATGCGTACCTTATGACATTTATGTTCGTCATGATGTTAAGCAGGCTCTTTTCCTTCCTGGTGCTCTTGATGTTTGAAAACATGAGCGTGCACTAGCGTGATGAGCTAGGCCCAAGGACACGTATACGAGTACATGGGTGGGCTTATGAGTGTGTGGGTGGACTATGTAGAGAAATATTACACATCCAACAGACTAGAAATTAACTTAAGACTGTGACATAATGTTTTTATAAAAAAATATGCCCCACCATATTGCATCTGATTGTATTTTTCAACACCAATGAGTTACTTACTGTCACTCCTATTTTTCAAGTTAAAATAAAGCACCCCAGATAACGGTGTCGCTAAAATAAAGCACCCAGATGACGGTGTCGCAATAAAGGTCATTAGAATAGTCAGATTCATGTATGTTCATGTATGTTCGATAGCCCTTAAATTATATCAAAACTAATTTTATTTTATTCAAATTCACATCATTTCTATTCCACCTCTCATTTCACATAAATATCATATTAATATTAAGACCATCACTTTTATGAAATATTTTAAATGAATATCTTCGGTAAATATTTGACATTGTTCTTAATAGAAAAATAAGACCGTCACGCTAGATAAATTAATTTTTTAAAAATTAATATTATTAAGGATCTATTAGCAAATAAAAACAAAATTTTATAGAGTTATTAGGCATAAAATAAAAAATGTAAAGACATTAAATACTTTTTAATAGAAACTAAACATAACGTTAAGAAAACACTTGGTGTTATGTAAAGCCATATTGACTATGAAGATCAATTTAGTAAAAGTTTTGAACGCATAAATTATCTGCAAATATAATCAATAATTAGACAGAGTCATCACACAAAAGGCCATCATGAGAGTGAAACAGCAAGTAGGAGAGATTTTTAGAGTTTTCGGAGGAGCAAAAACATGTTCTGATCCACCCTGAATTTGGCACAGTGGATGGGATCTCCCTTCAACAGCATTTGGAGTCCTCCGAAAGATGCATAAACCTCCCTGCAAATACAACAACCATTGCAGCTAAATCATCAGCGTTGTGAACGCTTTATACGACACGATTGCTAGGTAGCTACTTATGCTAGGAACAGTAAATACAACAACCATTGCAGCTAACCCATCAGTGTTGTGAACGCTTTATATGACACGATTGCTAGGTAGCTACTTATGCTAGGAACAGTAAATCAAGGAAATGTAAGTAAGTTTACTTACACTTTCAAGTCTGAACCCGAGCCTTCATCTGAAAGTTTGTATATTTTACCATGCATGATATACTCAAACTTATCTGCTAGCGATTTCTTCCCTTCCTGCAAAAAAAATTCATCTATGTTTCACAATCTTGACGGCTGAAGTAAAACAGGTTGGTCAAAGTGACCCTGGCTGAAGATGGTTGGGAGAGGAGTCTCATCGTCTAATTAAGGGGTTGATCATGGGTTTATAAGTAAGGAACACTATCTCTATTGATATTAGACCTTTTGGAGAAATCAAAAGCAAAGTCCCGAGAGCTTATGCTCAAAGTAGATGTTATCATACCATTGTTGAGGGTCGTGGTTCCTGACATGGGATTATCAGAGCCATGCCCTTAATTTAACCATGTCAATAGAATTCTCAAATGTCGAACAAAGAAGTTGTAAGCCTCGAAGGTGTAGTCAAAAGTTACTCAAGTGTTGAACAAATGGTGTACTTGGTTCGAGGGCTCCAAAAAAGGAGTTGAGCCTCGATTAAGGAGAGGCTGTTCGAGGGCTTCATAGGCCTCTGGGAAGGCTCTATGGTGTAATTTGTTCGAGGGGAGGATTGTTGAGGATTGTTGGAAGAGGAGTTCCATCGGCTAATTAAGGGTTGATCATGAGTTTATAAGTAAAAAACAGTGACTCCATTAGTATGAGGCCTTTTGGAGAAATCCAAAGCAAAGCCATGAGATCTTATGCTCAAAATGGACAATATCATATCATTGTGAAGGGTCGTGGTTCCTAACACTCTTTAGTGTCTTTAAGGAAAGTTGGAACACCTAGGCAGGCATCTTCAATACTCGACTAATCTATGGCATGTGTCACAAGCCTTGGACACGAGTCTTAACTCGCCTAAATAAGAGGTCATTCAACTTTTTGTGTTACTTTTCAAGAGACGTGGCTGGCTAGCACTAGCACAGCCTTAACAGAACAGCCAGCACCAATTGATACTTGCCTGGAAGTTCGGTGACCCTTTTTTCTAGGCTTTTTTAGACTGCTAGGGAAAATCCTTCTCCAAATTTTTAGTATCAGAGAGAGCTTATGGAGTTATTAAGAACTTTGAAGATACATCTAACATTCTACTTGTGACAAAACAGACATGAAGAACATGAAACGAATGACCCAAGAGCTCCAGCAATGAATTCAATCGAACATGGGGGGTGGAAATTACCTGGCCACTATAGCTGGTAACAGGAGCTCCATCATAGTTCAGCGTGGGAGACAAGACCATCAGAATCTTCTCACCTTCATCAATTGGATATATCTCTGTATTTACATCCAACAGCATATACATGGAAAGCTTCTCACTCCGTGCTTCGATTCTCGAAACTAAAAGAACAATTTTATGCAATCACAACAAACTTAAGACGATAACGAAGTTTCAAGTCTACAAAGGAGACTCAAAGAAAGTTCAAAGACCAGAAAATTATGATTGAAGAATGAGAAAGCAGTAACAAGCTTGAGGAAAGTACCTTTATCATACTTTTTACCATCTGGGTTGACACACTTGACCTTGAAAACATCATTAAATAGAAGCTCCGCCATGTTTATGGGGAATTCACTCCTCAAAATGCAGATCTGAGTTGGTGGGCATGCAACAAATATTACATATGGGATGAAAAGCCAGTGAAAGAAAGCATCAACTAAAATTTGCACAGAATAAGCGTAAAAATAGAGAGGGGATGGAGAAACTTTTTGAATTCGGAATCAAAAAACTCACTTAGCGGAAACGCAAAATTACACCATAAACATCAAAGAGTTAAACAAAAATTAAAACCCCCAAAAACAACCAATACAAGAACTTCAAAGTCTGTCCAAGACCAGATTCTATTGAACAATAAATTGAAACTCAAAAAACGGTAAGAACGAAAAGAGTAAAATCGAAACAACCCGCCATAGAGGTGTATGGTGGCTGTGTCTATTCACATTCTAATATCTGCGACTTTGTTTTTTATTCGAGATACAGGAAAATTCATGTTGACTAGAAACTAAGCAATTTTCAGAGAACCAAAGAACACAGATGATCAAAGGCTTCATTAACAGATACGCAATAAATCAATAGATCAAAAGACAGAGCACACGGCAGTCCAAAAATTCACAATTTGCCGCAAGGCTACTATCCAGAAATTGTGCGAACTTGCATTAAAAATCAATGGCACCATTCTTTCATTAAGACAATTCCTAATTTTAAGTTTTTCAGATGAGAATAGAACGTAGATGGAGATTGGGCAAATACCAATAACAACAACAGAGTAAACAATCAATGCAAACAGCTATGACGGAGGCGGCGCCGGAACGAGCGGAGGAAAGACGTTGGCGGCACTGAGCTACTGAAAAGGAAGGTGAAGCCGGCGCGAAGGAGGAGGAGGTGGAGCACGCAAAGGTTTAGGGTTTACTCGTTATTTTATTTATTTGTATTTTTAAGATTCAGAGCCCACAATTTAAAATATAAATTTATTTATTTATTCCGTTTTTTTAAGGAAAAAAAAAACAGATATTGCAATTTACTTTCAATTATTTAAATTTATTTAGTCATTAAATTTTAAAAAATCTTAAATTTAGTGTAAGTTTATTATTGATTTTGTAATAAATAAAGTATATATTAACCTAAAAATTAACTTTGAAATATTAAATTTAAAATTTATTAAAAGTATAAATTTTAAAATCCAGATAATTATAAATATATTGAATAAAATGAAATTAAAAATTTTAAAAATAATTTATCAAATAAAAATCTTAAATTTATTAGACATTTGAGCGCCTACTAAACATAAAACCTTCTGTCTTGGAGAAAGCGTTCGTCCGGC